GCTGAAAGATGTGCTGATATAGGTGTGGTAGCTAACAGGATTTTCACTCTTGGGTTGCCCAGCAGCAAGATTAAAGATCTGAAGGATCATTTCAGAGTATGGGCTAAGATTATTCTGGGGTGCTTCAACCACAGGAAACCAACCAGCTCTCCTGATTACATAAATGTGGATCAGCAGTTTCTGATCTATTTTATTGATCAGAAGATAAAGATCAATCTGGCTCACTTCCTGTTCAACCACCTCAGAACCAGTGTGAAAGAAACAAGGGAAGAAGAAAGAACCAAGAGGGACTGGATACCTTTTGGAAGGTTGATATCAGATATTCTGACAGAGAATAGGCTGATTGAGCATCTGATAGAAGCTCAAGAGCTGAGCACTATTGAACCAACAATTGGGAAACCTCTGAACGCAAAGAATCTGAAAAAGATGAAGCTGATAGAGAATATTCAGAAGGAACCCAGAGCTACTTCCACTGCTGATATCTCCAGCAGAAGAGTGCCTCTGAGTGATTTTCCGTTATTTTCTGAAATTGAATCCAAACCAGAGGTGAATCTCAGGTACTTGGATGCGTGCAAGGCAGATGGAACAGATCCAAAGCTGAATATCAGAGATCTGCATCAACCTCAACCAGAAGTGACTCTGAAGAAGACAAAGAAGAGGAAGGCGCCATCAGAAGGATCATCTCAGCAGACTCCAAAGAAAAGAGGTAATTCATCTGCTGCCCCTGTTTCAAATTCTTTTACTATTCCAGCATCTATCCCTCCTCAAACCTCTCATAGAATCTCAATCCCCATCCCTACCATAGATGAAACCGTACAAGAAGAAGACCCTTCTGAGGCATTAAAACTCAGAAGACCTAGAACCAAACATCCCAAACAACCAACAATTTCAACAACATCAGCACTTGACCAAGTACTGTCTGATATTGATCAACAAACCTCTGATCAACCAAACTCTGAACCACAAAATGTTCCTCCTCCACAACCAGAACAACAGCAATCTGTTGAAGAACCAGAACAACAACAACCACTCTCCGAAGAACCTCTGATCCCTGAGCAATCAGAGATTCCACCTCCCTCTCCCCAACCAGAAATTAATCCACCTTCACCACAAACAGAGTTTCACCACTCTGAAACTCCTTCCCCTCATCAATCTGAACCTCATTCACCTCAACCATCACCGCTGGCAATTCAGTTGCCATGTGGAACAACTGTTGTCATGCCCCAGTTACCATCCTCATCAGAATTAACACCACCAAATACTCCCAAAACACCACCCAGTCCAATCGTAATATCTGACTCTGATACCCCTTCTCCAAAACAAACAGCTGCTCAGAAAACCTCTACAAACCCCAGCAGGACCTTCATAGACTTAACCAGTCTTGACCGTCTTGCTGATCTGAAACACAAAATTGCCATCCCAAAACCAAAGCAACCAGATGTTGGCTCTGGTATTTTGAATTTTGAAACAGGTGTGCTGCAATGGATTGCTTCTTTGAAGCAAGTCTGTCCTGGAATGATTGACCCAGCTGCTTCTGATCAGCTCTGGTCACAATTCAGACTTTGGGTACGTGCTGAAGCCCTCAAGTTGCAGGATATCAACTATGAGCAGGCTCAACAAAATTTCAGCAAGCTTCTGAATGAAGTTGGAAGTATGCTTCTGAAAGAGGACGTGCTCCCTCTGGACAGTGAACCTTGGTCTGAGAAACAGCAAGCTGCAAAGGTGCAATCATCAGAAGAAGACAAGACCATTCAAGCTGAAGAAAGTCAAGCAGAGGATGTTGCTGAAAGTTCTGAGAAGCCTCCTGCTTCTGATGCTTCTCAAGCTGCCTTGGACAGGCAGACTCTGGAAGAACTAAGGCTGAATGACATGCGTCTGCAGCAGCGGATGGATGAAAACGATCAGAAGATGAAAAAGAGAATGGATGTGCAGGACAACAAGATTGACACTGTTGTCAGCATGGTGCATAAACAGAATGAGACTTCTGAAAAGATTCAAGCCATGCTGGAGAACCTGTTCACACGCTTGCCTCCTCAACCTTAATCTTTTTTTCATGCATGACCTTTTTTCATGTTTTCCCTGATTTTCTGATGTACTGTTTGATTATGTTTTGTAATATTTTCTTGTTTTGATTCTGAACTATCTTAATATGATTAGTTTTTCTGATCTTAATTGTTTTAAGCACATCACCAACACTTTTTGATTGCTGACAAAAAGGGGGAGAACAAGAATGATATTTAAATCAATAACGGCTAACTAGACAGAAATTCTCAAACATTCTAACTCTATTACTTGAAATGTTTTTTTCTGTTTTGTTTAAAGTCTACAGGCACAAGGAAGCTCCTGGACACTCTGAAGACTAGAAGCTCTGATCAATATGAAATTCTGATCCGTCCTAATACTCTGATCCAAAGCAAAGCTCTGACAAGAAAAGCTCTGAAGCTCTGCTCTGACACAAAGCTTCTGATAAGTCAAAGACTCTGATACTCTAATGTTCAAAGAAAGGCAAAAAGATCTGATCCTGAAGAACATGTATAATCAAAGGGAAGTAATAAACTCAGGGGGAGTATCTCTCAACTCTGACATCTCCTTACTCCTTATCATTTTACTTCTTATTCTGATACATATTCCAGATACCTTTTCACGTTATTTTCATTTAAAATATCTAGTTTTTGTCATCATCAAAAAGGGGGAGATTGTTAGAACAAAGTTTGAATCTACTACCCTATATTTAAGTTTTGATGATAACAAAGTGAAAAGATATAGAATTTATAAGTTTCATGTATGAACTATCTGCTGCCTAAAATTATTATGTTCTGACTTGCAGATACTCTGATTGAAATAAGCAAGATCACATCTATTCAGCATCAGAACTTGATTTCAGACACCAGCATCAGAAGTTGCTAGATCAGAACGTCAAAATCAGATGATCAACTCACGTACATGCTGAAGCCTGATGAACAAGACTGCGCTCAACACTCTGATACAGAAACACAATAGTTCATCAGCAGCGAAGCAGAGTCAGAATGAGCCAAGCCAGAACTTGCATTAAGTAAGCAACGGTACTGTGCATTGAAAGCAAATTAATTCCAACGGCCTCATTCCAGACAAGATCTGCTCAAAAAGGAAAGCTTGTTATTAGCATTGAATCAAGAATATTGCATCCAACGTTCATCATCTCAGTGCTATATAAACAAGGCTTTGAAGATTGAAATGGTTAATGCTCTCCAAATCTCTACACGCACAAAGCTGAACCATAATCTTCGTCCTATCAGTTTTGCTAAACCATACACTCTGATATTCCATTACTGTTTAGCAATCTAGTTTCTAAGCTTCAATTTGTGTATACATCACAGTTGTGATAAAGTTTTGTAGAAAACATCCACACACATAGTTTTATCTCTTTGTAAGAAGGTGTTACCTTGACAAACCGGGTTGTGGTTTGAATCAAGAAGGCTTTAGCAGTTGTTAAAGCAGTCTGTAATATTCAGTTGAATATAGTGGATTAAGACCTCGTTGGAGAGAGGCGAAATCACCTTGACGGGTGGACTGGAGTAGTTTGAGATCAAACGAACCAGGATAAAAATATCTTGTTCATTGCTTTAGATTTCAGTTTTACAATTCAACCCCCCCCCCCCTTCTTGTGTTTTTCACCACTTCAATCGAGACCAAGATTTGAAGAGCTGCGAACTATGTTTGGAGTTACAGAAATTTGCATCAAGGAGGAGTGTTGAAATTGCTACAAATTTCTAGAATATTCTAAATATAATATGTATGGTAATGGTAGAATACACTAGAAACTATAGTGTGTATGAGTATGGTAGAATAATCTAGAACTATAAGTATATGTAAAAGATAGTAGAACCTAGAATTATCATGATACTAACATATCATGAAAACTCTAGAAAAATCTAAAGTAATGTAGAAACATTCACCACCATTGAGATGTTGGTGACTTGAGCCTATAAATAGGCATTTGGTATCTTGTAATAGACAATCTAAGAAATCAATGACATAGCCTTCTTTCTAAACAACTCTCTAAAACTATCTTCTATCAACTATCAACTAAACCACTACTAACAGACATGAATATATACTTGCTCATTTCAACCATGCCTCCATGCGTGCATGGCAGCCCTACGAAAAGCCACATTGTCGGCTGAAGTTCCTTCCTTCTGAAACCACTTTTTTTGGTTCAGTAGGTTCTGAAAATATTTCCGAAATAAGTTTATTTATAGAATTAGAGTGTGGTTTAAAAATGATTGAATTGTGTATGAATGAGATGCGTCCAAAATTATATCTATGAAATCTAGATTTTTTTTTTCACGAGGTGTGATATGCTATAGAGTATATTAACAAATTCCAAAATTTAAAACTTGCCGGATAATTCCTCAAGTGACAATTAAATTTTGGCCCACCAACATCCAATGAAGCCAAATATGAGCTAGAAACCAACCCAGCTAGCTACTCCTTGAATTTAGATTACTAAAATACGTTTCGCGTTTCACAGAATTGTAGGGATAAAATAACGCTGCAATTTTGAATTTGAGGGAGAAATAATAGACTTGTTTGTTATTTCTAAATTTGGAGAAGAAAAATATACTAACCTACTTCTTTTTCACCAACCTGTGAGTCTCTCTCTTTCTACTTTTATTTCAAAATTATACTTTTCTCCATTCAAAATAAGTATACATAGGGAAGATTATTAGTAAATTTTCTCGTTGAAACTGAAACAAAATTATGCAGGGATGTAATGGTCTTGAATAATTTTTTTTTACACTTTTATTATCTAGAAAATTATTTTATAAATGATTTATTGTGATTTGATTAGTTTATTTCTTAGTTTTATCTCATTTAAATATTTATTTATTTATTTATTGTTATCATTTGAATAGATGGAAGGAAAATCGGAGAGGGCGAGAGAAATTGAAGAGTGGCTTCCAATTAATTCAGATAGAAATGCAAAATGGTGGTATTCATCTTTTCACAATGTAACTGCAATGGTTGGAGCTGGTGTTCTTGGTCTCCCCTATGCTATGTCACAACTTGGATGGTATATCAATTTTACACTTAAATTAAATTCAAATTAAATTTTGAAATATTCTCTAAAATAAAATAAAGATAAAACTTAATTCGTGCTTTAAAATTTAGTATAATATTACTTGATTAAACAAAAAATTGTATAGCGAATGATCGACTATTTTTTAAGCTGTATTGTATCAGCGATCAGTTAGTTTTTCTTTTATATTTTTCAGGGGTCCAGGTGTGACTTTACTTATCATTTCATGGATCATCACACTATACACATTGTGGCAAATGGTTGAGATGCATGAAATGGTTCCGGGAAAACGTTTTGATAGATATCATGAATTAGGTCAACATGCATTTGGAGAAAAGTTAGGTCTTTATATTGTGGTGCCTCAACAAGTTGTAGTAATGCTTGGTGGAACTATTGATTACATGGTAACCGGGGGTGCATCATTGCAGAAGTTCCATGATACAGTTTGTCCAAATTGCAAAAAAATTAAATTAACCTTTTTCATTATGATATTTGCCTCTGTTCATTTTGTATTGTCTCATCTACCTAGCTTCAACTCCATTTCTGGTGTATCTCTGATTGCAGCAGTCATGTCTATTGGGTATATCAACTTCTTTCTATTCTCTAAATCTTTAATTTTTAAGCTTAAGAATGAAATAAGCTAATTTAATTTAATTTTTTTTGTTTATTTCATTACAGTTATTCTACAATTGCTTGGACTGCTAGTGCGCATAAAGGAATACAAGAAAATGTCAAATATAATAACAAAGCTAAAACTAGAATAGATTTTATCTTTAATTTCTTCAACGCGGTTGGTGCAGTTGCTTTTGCTTATGCTGGACACAGTGTGGTGTTGGAAATTCAAGCGACAATTCCATCAACACCTGAAAAACCATCCAAGGTTTCAATGTGGAGAGGAGTTGTTGTTTCCTATATTGTTGTTGCTTTTTGTTATTGGCCAGTTGCTATTATTGGTTATTGGATGTTTGGTAATGAGGTTAAGGATAATATTCTCATCTCTTTAGAGAAACCAACTTGGATCATTGCAATGGCTAACCTATTTGTTGTTTTCCATGTAATAGGAAGTTATCAGGTATATTTTTATTTTTATTAAATTTTTTCAACTTGTAATTATTTTAAGTTAATCATTTTTTTTTAAAATTTATTCGATAAATTAGTTAAATCGGATAATTAAGTCGAGATCAAAGTTAACAAAATTATGAACTAGTTCTTAAAATTGTACTTTGTATGATTTGAGTATCCTATACTTCGCGTGCAACTATAAACTTTAATCTCTAAAGCCAAAATAGATTATAATAGACGATAAAATTATTTCAGAGTTTTTTTTTTTTGTTTGTATATTTTAGATATTTTCAATTCAAGAGATTAATTTTTTTAGTTGTGGATAGAGAATATTAGATATTTACAACAACACTATGCATCAACAAAAATTTCATTTTAAGAGCAACTTGAATATTTTGTTAAATTGATTACTATTTCTTTTTGGAAGAATAATTTAGTCATTGAAGTTATAATTGACTAAAAGAGTGATTGATGGGGAAAAAAAAACTTTTATGTTCAATAACTAATTCTTCTTTTCTATGACAAATGTTAAAGTTACAATTCTATCCTAGTAATTAATTTCATATTTGTTGGTGTAGGTTTTTGCCATGCCAATGTTTGATATGCTTGAAAGTGTGCTTGTGAAGAAATTGAATTTTGAGCCAAGTGCAATCCTTCGCTTTGTTGTGCGTAATGTATATGTTGGTAAGTGGAATAAAGTACTACTATATAACTTAGCTTTTCTCTTGTAAAAAAAAAACTTAGCTTTTCTATGATAAATGTTGATACCATGCAACTCTTAATGTTATTCTTAATTATATGTTACTATATCCTCAACTTTAATAACATGTTGTTACGTTGATTATTTAAAATTTAAGGATGTGTTTCATTTGATTATGTCTATTGATAATATGTTTTCTTTTCAGCATTCACAATGTTTATTGCCATTACTTTTCCATTTTTCGGTGGTCTATTAGGATTTGTTGGAGGATTTTCTGTCACTCCAACAACATATTTTGTAAGTCATAAAAAATTGTAAATTGTAATTTTCCTAAAATTATATATGTTTTGCTCAACTTTTCATTTTATTAAATTTTCAGCTTCCATGTATCATATGGCTTAAAATCTATAAACCAAAGAGATTCAGCTTGTCTTGGTATATTAATTGGGTAAGTATCTTTGATTAATATATTTTTCTCTTTAATTTTTCAATATTTTTTAATATTAATTTAATTTCTTTGATTTATTTATTACAGATATGCATTGTATTTGGCCTATGTATAATTATTTTAGCACCTATTGGAGCATTGAGGAGTATTATCCTTGAAGCCAAGACCTATAAATTTTACACATAATCTTCTTACTTCTTCTTATCTACTTGAATTATCTATTAGAAGGTCTCTTACAAATGTATTTCTCTATGTTTTATCTATTTTTCAATTTCAATGTACATGATTGAACACACTTTGAGGTTCAATGGAAGAACTAAGTGAAAGAAATTAATTTTAAGGAAAAGGTGACCTAAGTTCATCCGTAGAGTGTTGGTTGAATTTTTCTCTCGTAAAAGAATACTTCCCAATCACAAATTGTAAATTTCTTGTGCCAAATTATATTATTTTACAATATCTATGAATTGTTTAAGATTTTTTTCATTATGTCATTTACTATTTATAAAATTATCTTTTTTCTAATTTATAAATTTTATCTTTTTCATAAATCTTGAAGCTTGCAACCAAGTGGAAGAATCGGTAGAAGCCGAATTAAATGATGAAAGTCATACGAAGGCCGCAATTTGTAGAGCGTGTGCGGTGGTAGTCTGAAGCTCGGAACCATCAGTGTTTGAAGAAGAACCACAAAGACAAACCATCTATGCAAAGGAGAAAGAAAAGAGGAAGACACAGCAGGGAAAAAAAGATCAAGTGTCCATGCAACATGTCCAATAGACCCTTCAATTTCAGGTATTTCTATCACAGATAGCAACATTAATTGGAGAAACTGGGTAATAAAATACGGGGAAGCAATAGAAGTAGCTAAAGGAGTGTGGGGGTTTTGGTAAAGAGGTTGGGTTAGTTATAAAAGGTGAAGAAGGAGAGGTAATTCAAGAACTGCTAAATCTAGAGGAAAGAGACAAATTGGCAATTAATGTTTAAAATATGGAGAAGGCTTGTGGTCCGTAAACTTGGATGGATCAGTCGCATATTGGGGGAATTGTCTTCTTAAGTTATGATTCTATCTTATAATGTTAGAGGCCTTGGGGGCCTAGCAAAGAAGAATGGTGTCAAAACTCTTATTTTGAAACATAAATCAGCAGTGATCTGAATTCAAGAATAAAAAATGGAACATGTCAATGATTTTGAATGCAAGAGACTTTGGGGGTCAATTGATTGTTGTTTTGCTTTTAAGGCTGCAGTAGGTCGGTCTGGGGGTATAATCACAATTTAGGATACAAATGTTTTATCTATATCAAACTCGTATTCGGGGAGCCACTTTGTGTGTGTCGAAGGTGTTTGGGTGTTGTACCCCAAAATTTGTCCTCCCATATTTCTCAATACATGTCAAGTGAGGTCCTCAATTTGCTCAAGGAAGTCCAAGGGTTAACCAGACAAACTCTCTCCTAAGACAGTCTACCTCAAATTAGGGTTTCATTTTTTATCAAGATGCTTGAGTCCAAAGGATCCCAAATGCTCATCATTGTCCTAATATGTTCTCAAGATCATCCACGTCAAGTTTCAAGCCTTGCAGAGAAAGTTTGCTTAGTCAATTGCTCAAAGGCCTGAAAATCGACTATGCTAGGGCAGAAGTCAACTGTGGCCCACATACAGTCAAACTTCAAGATTTTTAGTCAACATCATCATTTTGAAGTATCATTCATCATTTGATTAAGGGTTGATCATGATTCCTCAAGGATTGCTCACAGTTCATCAAAACCCAAAAGTTGCTAAATTAAGGTTTTACAGGAAAAGTCAACTCAACTTTGACCAAGCATAACTTTCTCATACTTTATTAAAAATGACCCATCCAAAGATCATTTTGAAGAGGATGAAATTCCCTACAATTCATCTTCAGCTCCCAAGTTCAAAATATGCACTCACAAAAACACCTTTTGGGTCAAGGCTTCATACATGAACACGGAAGACTCAATTGAGATGAGACCAAAAGGGTTGCTTAGAGGACATTCTAAGCTTTCTAAAAAGTCCAAGAACACATCTCTAGGGTCAAAATTGAGAGAGTTATGCATTGTCCAAGTTGACCCTTTTTGCAAAGTTGCCAAAAGTCAAATGTGTCCAAAATTGTATTTTTTGCTAAATGGGCCCAACTTTTTATGCTTGCACTGAGTTTGTAATGTGATCCACGACCCATGAGCCCTTCCACTTGTCATTCTTTTATTTTTGTTATTTATTTTGATTTTATTTCATTTAAATCAAATAAAATCAATATAAAATAATGAAAATATCAAAAATCAATAAAACCTTGAGATTTTGTGCATGATTAGATTCATTATTAAGCTGGAGACAAAATCAAATCATGCAAGGCTTCATATGGACAAAAAAAGATTGAAAATGCTTGTTTTGGAAATATTTGGTGCAAGGATTAAATCATGAATCAGTCTTCATAAATGACAAAGATTGGATGCAAATAGGAACCCTAATGCACTCTATTATACATAAGGAACAAAGACAGACCAAAGGGAGAGGTGGAGAAATTGTGAAAGAGGCAGAACCAATTGCAAAAATTCAAGGAAAAAGTGTTGATCGAATTGTGCTCCACAGGACGTTTCAAGGGTTTCAAAAGATCAATTCAGATTCTTGGATCATCCCTGAAGCCAACGAGATCGTTTGCAAGGCCTGGGACGCACAGAATCACCCTGTAACGTTCATCCGGTTTGCCTATTTGCATGAATTTGAATATATTGATTCTGGCATATTTAGCATGATTGATTGGCATATTTATAATCTTTGAGATGTTTGCAAGCTAATGGCTTTATTCAATTGCATTTTTATTGACTGTAAATAAAACTGCCATGGCTAGGTTTGTTCTTTTGTTTTTAGGGGTTTCTCATACAGGAAAAATTGGGCATGGATAATGGTACCATGATGCTCGTGAGGTTGAAACAAGTTGATTGGTACCATTGGTTTCCATTTATCATGCGCGTATAGGATTTTGAAATGCATAGGGGCTATACCTACGCTTAATTCCTGTAGGTAAAAGTTACAAACCTACAACGACGATGGGAGGAAGAAGATGGATACGTGGCGTTCTCTGACTTGTCAGTTCAAATTTTGTGCGTTTTAAAATTTAACATTTTGTTTTCATCATATAATATTTGTTTATTATTGTATATACAACTAAAACAGCCAGCTCAGTTGGAAAGCGTGCAAGGGAGGAATGCTCAAGGACCTGGGTTCGATCCCCAGGTCCCAACTTTTATTCATGCTTTTCTTGAACAGGCAATCCAGCGTGTTACATGGCAAGGAATCCATCATGCACTATCAATATCTGATCGTTCAAACCACCAAGGCTTCAGATCTAAGGCTTTCCCCCTGAAGGACCACCATGCGCGTCAAGCATGTACATGGGATTGGGCAAAGTCAAAAGGGGCAGAAGTTGTTGGGCCAAGAAATCAGATTCACCCCCCCCCCCCCCCCTTTGCTAAGCAATCAGGCCTATTTTTCTTTCTTTTCTATTTTATTTCTTTTATTTAAATTATTTTGCTCAATTATTTTTAACAAAATTAATCACTTTTTTTCATAAAATCATAAAATCAAAAATCATAAAAAATTTAGAAATAGTTTTTTTTTTTATCTAATTTAATTTAATATAGTTTAAGTTAATTTAGGGAAATTCTAACTTTTTTTTATATATATAATTAAAATCAATTAGAAAATTAGGGTTAGACTCTTGATTCAATATTTATTTCTTTCTCAAAATAAAAATACAAAAATAGGTTAATTTAATTATTTTTCTTAATTAAAATTAATTAGTAATTGGGTTTTTGTTATTATTCAATTAAGCTTTATTTTCTCAAATAATCAAAAACGACATAAAATGATTTTCCCTTTTAATTACAATTAGGTGTAGATGGGGTCAAAACCCTAATTATCTTGTCTTCGATTCATCGCGCGTGTTTATTATTTTTTGCAATATTGATGTAACTGTCCACGGTATGTAATAGTTTAATCTAGGACTTTCTTTATTTATCGTCTTTTACGGTTTTTTTTTTGCTATGTAATTAATCCCCAGCCCAAAGCCTTATAATAACGTAGGTTATTATTCTCGCATTTTAAATTCTCGCAAATATTAACTGTTTAGATGTATGTTGATAGGATTGTATGACAAGATTGCATGATAACTTAAAACGGATAGAAAACCCTAATGTGCAAAGATAATAACTAAAATCAAATCACTCGCACATGTGCACTCTTAGGGTATACTCTCACTTCGGTTGCCTTCGGTAAAACGACCATTAAGTATAGGATGTTTTAGCGGTTGCCCTCCTGTCTAAACAAAGATCGAATGTCCCGTTCGGAAATGTTGCCACGGAAATGTTGCCTCTAAAATGTTGCCTCGAATATGATCTTAAAGACTTTAGGGTTATCACTAAGACGTCCTAGCATTGCTTTAGTGATTGTACGTCCCTTTCGAATTGACCCTTACAACTACAACGACTGTGCTATCTATTTCTCAATAGTAGGATAGCGTTGTCTAAAGGAAATGAGAATAGAAACGATCTTTTTTTTAGTAGGTAGATGCTTGTAGGTACTTGGTAGATGCTTGTAGGTACTTGCTCAAGTCAAACTTTTCACACTTACAATTCTCAAAACAATTTTCAAAAACAACTTCGTCGCACCTTTGAGGACTGATACAAAGGTTATCACGAAGTCAAAACTTTTCAAAACAAAGCACGTACACAAGAAATTTTAAATATGAGCAAGTACCTAAGAGCCCATGGAAAACCATGGATAGAAAGGGTGCTAACACCTTCCCTTTCTATAATCTACCCCCGTACTCAGAATATCTCAAAAAAGGATTTTTTTTTGTACTTTTTTCCTTTTCGATTGGATGAAATAAAAGTCGGTGGCGACTCTTGCTTACCGCGACATTTTGCGAACACAAAACGCAAAACGCAAACCATCATTCCAAAACAGTCGGTTTTGCCACCCTATCACAGAACTGGCGACTCTGCTGGGGAAAAATAAGTGGGGTATACCTTAGGATATAGTTCATCTTGATTGCTTCTCTTGATTGTTTGTTTGCTTTACTTTTAAGGGTTTTGTTTGGGGTTACTATAGATCCTACACCAAAATCTGGGGAACACCTTTTAGGTAAGTAGCAACAAACTGTGAGGGGACTGTAC